AGGGGTAGTCGGAAGGGGGAGACGCAAGATGTAAGGGTGACAGCAGCTAACATTGTATTAAGAGAATATGAGCACTATCATCAAGAAACGAGAATGGTCAGGGTTTGGGTGAGAAGCTAGAATGGCACGGGAGGTAGATAAAGTAAAGTAGAGCCCCAGAAACAGCCTCGAGTGAATGCAGGCGTGCGATCTTCAAGTTGTCTTCTTAGATATCGCTAGAATTCACGCAGACTTTGGTAGAATAGCAAGGGTATGTGTGAGTTCCTTCACAACCCCCATCCCCACACATCTTGTCCCAGACAGGCCGACCCATAACCCCACCTATGAATCCAGAGACACAGCACCAGTAACACTCAAAACCAATTGTTAACTCAATTTCTGGGTCAAACAGGATAAGCCCGCTTTAGCAAGCTAGCCATGATCCAGGATATTAAGCGCTGTTTACAGTATGTACTGTACCCCTACACCTAGTTGGTCATAGTGCTCCCCACGAGCAGCCTCGGCTCGCACCTGACCACTGACTCGAGCCAACCCGGCTCGTTGGGAAAAAGGCTTCAGCTGCCCGAGATTTAATGTAAGGCTCGAGGCAGCCTCGGCCCGGGTTTGTAGGGGTCACTTCGTATCACTCGCTCAGACCGTGAATTTATATGGCTAAGGAGAGAAGGAAACTTGATTTTTCTACTACATGTGCAGGTAGGGGTTTATATCCCAAACCGAGACACAAAACAGAAGAGCGAAAAGATAACGGTAATCCGAGGTTGGCACCATATAAGAGCCTTGGAGGAAGGAAGAAATTTTAAAGCCCTCGAAAAAAGATAAAACATATGAGAACCCCAGAAGGACAATGAATGACAGGCGATCAGAAAATAACGTACGGCACCGCCAAGCGGGACGGCGCACGTATCCGGGACAACCAAACATCTCAATGCCCACGACAGTTAAAGGCATGTAAGTAGTCCATTTCTGATGCCATAAGAGTGAAATATAAATGAAATAAAAGCTAGGAACTAGGAGAAGACAAATATGAGCTTTATTGAGACATAAAACAAGATTCAAGAATATTACATGCCAAAGGAGAAGCAGGAAATCAAGAAAAACACTCCACTCAATAAAGGAAAACAAAGTTACTTCTGCCCATGCAAAGCCATCCCAAATGGCCTATCCAGTAGCCTTGGATTGGTAGGTGTGGCCAAGGGAATAGTGGTGGGGGGCTGTCAGCGGGGTTTTGAAGGAGGAGTAGGTGAGGAGGGACTCGGAGTACTTTCAGTACCTTCACTGTTGCTAATCAGAACATTTGAGTCTGGAGAGGAGAAAATAGATTGTGGAGAAATAGCTGATTGGACAAAGGTTACTCGATAGCAGTAAACCTGGTGAGCAGGTGTGGAAGAATGTGTAGGTGGTTTCTGAGGCTGGGAAGATGATTTTGAATGGCAAAGAGGGGTCTGTCGACCTAGCTTCTCTTTCTTCTTATTGTCGGCCTTTTGCCAAATACTGTAGAAAGCCATTGCCTCCCTTCCATCAATGACTCTAGCAGTAGTCATTTGTCATTTGTCTGCCTTTTGTATAACATTTATAGCTTTCTGTCGGTCTTGTCACCATCCTTCCTCAGAAACTTCCAAAGAAGCCTGAATACCAGCACCAATTTCCCCCAAGCGAGAAATCATTTTTTTTAGCTCCTCAGAAGTTATTTTTCCAACTGATTGAAGAACCTTATTGGTTTCTCTTCTGAAGTCTGTACTTTTGACTGGTGTTTGAAGACCAAGGATTCGGGAAATGTAGCGAAGAGGTGTATGTGAGGGAGCAGTTGAAAATTGTAAGCAGTCAAGTATAATCTTAGGGTAATAGGGGATCAGTCCAGTGGAGCAAAAGACAGATTTGATGTTATCACTTGTAATTGCCTTCTCTCTTGCCTTCTGCAGTAGTGGCCAAAAAACACCTTTATGTATACTACCACCTTGTTGACAAGAGTAGCCATCCACCACTAAACTACTAGTATAAAAATGTTGAAGAGGACAAAAGACTGCAACATTGAGAGGCTGTAAGAGGTGTGTGGAGTGAGATGGTAGGCAGAGTAAAAAAATTTGTATCCAAGCAGTACATACAAAAGTCCCAATTGATATAGGATGAATGGCCATCAAGAATAGTGAGGCGTTTGAATCCCGGTATGGATGGTGGTGCAAATTGATTGAAATGGCGAGTAATAAATTGATATCCTAGTGCTTTATCTGTCCATCCCTTTGGAGAATAGGCCAAGAGCACATCTGGATCATCCAGGCTTTCATACCATCCCATACAGTGTCCAGCTTTTACTTTAAAAATTAAAAATGGCAGAAGAAAGGTTCCCAATGCTCAGATAGTTTCCAAATCAGTGATCAGCTCTCTTTTGCCATCATGGGTCACTTGTGGATTCCTTCTCCCCACTCTTGTCACCACTTTTGACTTAGCTGACATTCCCATCATAAATCCTTTTTCATCAAGATTGTATATATCTTCTGGCCCTATATCATATTGTATACAAATTCTATTGTACTTTCAAAAATACTTGTTGATAATTTTTGGATCATTTGCATAAGCTCGCTGTCACTCAAGGTTGCTACTATAGCACTATGTGATATCCTTATAACAGTCTAGAAATCGACTTAGCTAATTCTTTCCTAAGCCAGTTGTCCCATGTTCTATCATAATCAGCCTCTCTTTTTTCTTTCCTACTAACATCCTCGCCATGTCTTTAACATATCTAACTGTGGAGGAAAGCCCAAGTCATCCAGTCTTTTAATCTACCGAATGAGTGCATGCTCTTCCACCTCAGTCAATAGTTGTTGATCAATATTCTGTCATGATACCCACTGTCCATTTATTCAGTAGGCTAGGCTGGACTTTGGTAAGTCAAAGGCAACTGCTATTGCTGTGATTGAAGGATAGTTGCCTTTGCAAAAGGCTGTAATTGCTTTTGTAAACAGCTTTTCTCAAATGTCTTGAGGGCAGCTCTTTACTTGAGGCATCTTGTGGTTATGAGAAGGTATTTGCTTTCAATTAAAAAGTGTTCAGAGTATCTTGGGTAACTTTATACAATTTTCAGCTTATGTTAGAAAAAATGACCAATTTACCCCGCTTTCAGCCTCAAATCACTCCTCTACACATCATATTTTCTCCTCCTTGGACTCAGATGGTAACAACCAATCCCAAAACCCTCTTCATGCATCTCACTCTCTTGTTCTAATTTGATTGGTATGTATCTACCCCGCATTCCTCCACTCATACCTTAATCAATCTATTTTAAGTACTGGTACATGTTCCATGGAACAGGAATAGGTACCACCCCCCTACCCAGGCCACATTTGAATTCCCCTCTTTCAGAGCTCTGTTTTAGTGTACTTTTCAAGTCTCTGGCTTCAATATTGGGTGGTCTACTGAATAAGAGCGACAGTTGACATGGGGGTTGTTGGCCGTCCCGCATCCATGTGTCGTCCCGCTTGGCGGTGCCGTACGTTAGGGCATACCGCAATTAAATATAGCATGGTCGCGAAGCCGTGAGAAGAATGGAGAGGAGATGAGGAAAGTCAAATGGGGCCTAGCGATGAAGGGAGTGGGGGAGGGGCTAGGAGGGAAGCTGGATGAAAAACAGACTACTCTGCACGGAGGATAAGCACTGAATCCAGCACAAAGAGCCAATGGTTGAGCTGTGAGGAAAACCTGAATGGACGATAAGTTCAAAATCTTGCCTTTTCCTAGGGCCACTGACGGCTCCATCCTCGCGAAGTTAACAAATTCCGAAGATGCAAGAACAGTTGCAATAAAAACAGAGGAGGCAACTTACTGCAGGCTTCCCCTGATTCTCACGTTCTAACACAGATATCATATGCCTCGGTAAGATAATTTCTAACAGCAGAGAACAGCAAACATATATAAAAATCCACTGTTGTCTCCCCCAAGTAAGCAAATATAATGAACAGCACTCCTTCCCATAACCCACCCCAGACCTCTAACCTATCACACATTCAGTATGATAAGAAATAAAATATTCGCTTAAATATGAGCCACATTACACACTTAGCCCCAGACTAGCTCTTGAGAACGCAAAGGTAATGCCCCCGCCAGGGAAAATATGCTATTAAACTATGTTCAGATAAAAACTTACTGTAGAGTCAATTATCATCCGCAGTGGGGGCGAGGATAGTAAAAGAGGTCCCCCAATAGGTCGGAGATTCGTTGGGTTACCCCGGGTTACCCCGGGCTCTCCACGGGGCCGGGTCGGATCCGGAGCACCAAAAAACAGGCACTCACTCTCTCGAGCTGACCACCCGCCGACGGAAACGGATACCCACGGTACTAATTGTTTATTGTTGATTCTTTAGTTCCCCCCTATGCTCTCAACTCCACATATCCACTGTACCGAGCTCTAGATGAATCGTAGAGAGAGGTCATTTCAAAGCCTGGTACGATAATTCTCACTCCTCCAACCCATCATCAGTAACACCGCCATCGTATAAACTCAAAAAAGCCGGACTGACACTAGTGACTAACGTGTGGGGTAAGCCTAGCCCCGCCACTACTAGCCACACTCTATACCCAATATTGGCCAGCCCCTACTCGTATGGTTTGCCCAGGCAGCCAGTGGAGCTCCCGTCAGTCGCTCTAGATCAGATGAACCCTAACCCTTCCCTTTCTCGTCCCATGGTGATTTCTCATGACTCCGCCCATGATACTCGAACTTTCAAGACGAAGGCCCAGTCCACCACAGTTTCTCATTTGCCTCCGATAACAAAATAATTTCGTATCATAACACTCCTCTTACTTTTGCTCCTTCAATATAGGATGATTTCGTCACCAAACACGTATACCCCTCCGCTCTCCTCAGTGCTCACGGGGCCACGTCTCCCACCCTCCATTTTTTTCACAGGTCTTATATCCCTTTCCCCAATCCCCCCCCTCCCCTCTTTACTCCTTTCCCTCATTCTATCATTAAACTCTTCCTAACTTTTATCTCAATAACTTCCCTCGCCCCAAAAGAGACTGTTTCAAAACTTGTCAAAAGTATTACTACAATCACCATGCGCCCACTCCGCTACCTGCTACTCTCTCTTGCGCTACTCCTCGCCGTGTCCCCCGAGCATATCGCTGCCAAACCGCTCGAGGCAAGAAGCTCCCCGGACACCAAGGTCGCCACAATACTCCCTTCCCTCATCATCCCAATTGCATCTTGCAACCCTCAAAAAGTCTTTCCTACCCAAGAGCATGGCGGAGTCTGGCTCAAACCCAGCCTGGAGGGGCCCAGGAGCCGACCCCAATGTGTCGGCAACGGCTTGATTTGCAAGATGAACGAGACCGCGTTATATAGTGAGTTCACAACGCCCCACCTAATTTAGCCGTTATTAAGAGTATGTGTGAAGTCCGTTTCCAGGTTCCATTCAACAGCGCAAGATATTGCGAGCTCGAATTCAACCTCCCTCATTCCGGTGATCGGAAGCAGTGGAGGGTTAGGGGAACCGGAATTCTAAATGTGTATAGCCTCGAAGAGCCGCTCAATCCTTACGGAGTTAATTGGGGTGTTCGGCCAAAGCGAGCGCCGAACACCCACCCTGGAAGACTAGGGAGTCCCTTGTATCTAATTGAGGTATACAGCTCTCGAAGACCTTTGCTTCCAACCCTAGGCTTTTCTAACAGCTATTCCGTCCAAGCATTCCATTCCCGAGAAAACCACGACGTGTACGGGGCCCCGACTAGAATGCAGAATGGGAACCTTCATGGACTTTGAGCTGTCAGCTCATCGCCCCGGGTACACCTTTTTCGGTTGGCAGCGTAAGTATTGATACATATCCTACGTCTTGATATTGCTTACACGTCTCAGAATTGGCGGAGCCCCCAACGGGTATTAGCCTTAGTATGTGGAGCTAGGTCCGTCAGTCAGAGATTGGGTTTGGCAGAAACATAGAAGCATTAGATATGAAGCCCGAAGTGTCTTGTCCAATATCTTCGGACTACTTCTTGTGACTTGCAGGCCGACTTCGGCCAAATCGCGGAGCTCCAGCAGCTAGAGGATATTGTATTAGTTGATAGCCTCCTGTGAATACAACATGGTTCCTTAGAATTACTATTAGTTGAATTCTTCACTTCGTATCTTGTGTTCCGTCGCCCCCTGTACCGTTGGGGGAGCTGTTTCTCGAGTTAGGACAACCGCGGGGGCGAGACCAAGACCAAACACGTCCCAACCACATGGCCGACACATTCCAGGAGATAGCAACTACCGTCGTACGGAAAATCGAAACCCTGACTACCATTGCTATTTTGTCACTACCTTACTCTTTTTCATCCAAACACAGAACCACCACCCCACAGCATCGCCACCTCTCCCAGAGGCCCACCATATACTTGTGAGTCTCAGCTAAGAAAATATATTATTCATCCTTCAACACAATACCGGAAGGATTATCATTACCAAAAAACTCCTCGCACCCGACCCTACCTGATCCACTAGGGATCAGTGGATATCTCATCACCCCCCCCCGGTTCTTGTTGTGTAGATAGGATCTCTATATAGGAGGCCAAATCCAACCCACCGGAGTGCTAGCAGCTGGACATTTTTCCCCCATTGATCGGAACAGGTTTGTACTCCCGCTTCGAGGCCGAAGGGCTGCTGAAGGGCCCCGGCCCTCGTTCAAATCTCAGATAGCATAATTCTGGGGTGCCGGGTATTTTACTATCCGCATGACCCTTCGTCAGGTTAGGTTAGGTTTGATCACGGGTGATAACGTAAGATATCTCTTAGGCTAGATGCGGTATGTAAGACACGACTGCTCACATAGGGCACCCAATACTAATTCACCCTCGGGGAGTTCTCGATTCGGTGAAACAAACTTCCGAACCTTTGTTTGTTAATTGTCTAAGCGGCATATGTATTCATGAACGTCAGCTAACCCACACCAAAGCAAGGCAATAGTAAAGCGAGAAGTTGATCAGAAACCTTATAGGGCGGAATCATTTATACAGGTATTCCCTTCACAATGCAGACAAAGAGTGAGTCATCACAAAACACTAGCCTACCCGTCCCCCTCAATAATCACACCCGCGAGGCTTGACACATATTTAGAGATCCAATGTCGCCACTTTGCACGGTTTCGTGAAACAGAGGTGTCAAAATCCATGAGTACGAGGGTACAATTGCAGGTTTTTGCTTACCAGTCCATTCGTGGGTGCTCCTTTGCTATGCAGCTCAGCTCACGACCATAAAATCCTCATTGGTCCCTGGGGAATCGCTTTAATCAACCCGGATGAGATAGTTATTGGAATTGAGCACAGAAGGAGTCCTTTCGTCAACCAAGCAATGACTTTCTATCAAACTTCATTATATATAAAAAACGCCCGAACATCCACCCAACGGGCGGTGGACAAGATGCAAAACGTTAAGGTGGGCGAAAGAAAGGTAGTCTGATGTGGCTAGTTGCGGATGTTGTGGGAGTAAAAAACGCACGCCGTACGAATCAGCTCACCCTTCCTCTATGCAATAGGAAATCGGACCCCCAGAAAAAAAAAACCCCCCCACCGCGACTACAGGTAAACCGTTTACAACGAATCCCAATACGCAGCTAAGCAAGAAAATTATATTCAGTGTGATCAAAATACTGCAGCATTCCCCAAGATAACCTGACTCAATCCCTGCCTAACGACTTTAGTAACTTGTGATGCTCTAACTCTCACTCTAGTATGTTGCTGCGATGACACATCAGAATCAAACAGTATCCCGTCCCGGCAATCATCCCCAGCTTCTCCAAAGAAAAGAAAAAGTTCAGAAATCTGTCCACTAAGTTTAGAAGTGTACGATATGGCAACCTCCTCAGATCTCCCAATATCAGCCCCCCTCGACCAAATCCCACAAATCCACCGCTCAATTGATAAAACCTTAGTTGAGCGTCAGTTTTCGGGCCTGAGCCTCCAGCGGAAGGATCTACTCCACTTGCTGGCTCAGGAGGTGCCTTTCCACCTTCTTTCTGTCCAATATTTTTCACAAATAACCTACCCTTGAGGGTGCAAACACTTTTGGCCCGCCCCTTGACCCGGAGGAGAAAACACATCATTCCCCCCTGTTCCGGGGAGGGCACAGCCCGATCCACCGCCTCAAGCGCCAGAGTATAAACCGGCGGTAGCAGTATTTCCAAATGTTTCAATTCTTTGCCCAATCTAGAGTTTAGTATTTCCAGCCCCCTCACAGATGCCAGAATAAAATCTTCCACCCAGCCCACCGTGTATTTCCCTGTAGCTATGCCTCCAAAAGCACGGGACATCCTTACACAATGAGTTTCTACAGCATCGATGTATGCCTTTAGTCTTCCTATAGGGATCCTCCGAGCTGGTGCGAATCTGTAGTATTTCCCTATCGCCTCGTGGCAATGGAGGTGCGCGCCCTGGAGGAATTCCTGGAGGGTCAGAGGTGGCTCTCCGGATAGTGAATATGCATACATTCTATTTATCCTAGTAGAAAAGGGGCTTATTGTTAGGGATGGGAGAACACTAGGGGATATGATTGGATGGTATCAAATAGTTTGTTGTGTCATAGCAGCTTCTAATGCTGTTTGGTTGCAAGCTTGGAAAGATGAATTGATACAGTGGCAATCCAATCTTCCGGTGAGAGTAAGGGCGGCTGGCTAGCTTGACAAAATTCAAATTTATATGTTCTTCGAAGGGGAAATGCCAAGTGAACAAGTTAAGGTCACAATGAGCTATCCATAGAATGTTCGCAATAGAAAACGCTCAGATCGTCATCAAGATGAGGGAATCGCTTGGCATCAGTTTGATCGTGGTCCTACCTTCTCATCAAGCACATATCGACAATACCTAGGACCCAATATCAATTCTTCCCCACCTTTCGATGACCCCCACGAGTACGTCCACCGTAGGGCCAACGATCGCCATAGAATATTTTCTCAAAAACAGGCCCCATGTTTCGGTGATTGTGGAAAGGACACGACATGAAGAAAAAAAAAGAAAGACTGCTCAGGCCCTCACGTAATATTATTCATCCATATATTTGGAAAGACAAGAATGAAACAGAAGAAAACACTCACTAACTTACAACTAAAAAGCCCCAAATATGACAGCACAAACATCGAAGGAAGTATAGTAGCAAAGGACAAGAAGAAAGTCGACTATACCACCGGGAAGGCTTCCGGCGAGTCTGGCCGGACGGCAGGTCCAATGCCCGGTGAGTGAGTGACACCTTTTCAACTCCAAACCATGGTGGGAAAACAGTTGAGCGGGTTATAGCTTATTAATCCACTGCATCCGATAGGGTTTTCAGGTTTAACATTGGTAACGAAGGAAACCGATATACCTAGCCCGTTTCGTTCATACCACCGATACCCCAGATCCCAAAGCCGATATTAAATTAACGCCTCAGAAATCTTTTACAAAGGGCCTAGTTCAGTTCACCCGACGAAGAGTGGGAAGAAACCTCACTTCTACCTTGGTTCGCCCCTTTTCATTTTCTCCTCCCCCACGAGCTTTACAGCAACTTGTAAGCACAATACGTTCGGGACTTCTATTGGCTACTCGCTTTAGATTGGTCTCTCCTATCGCCAAGGCCAATCCAACCACCCGTATCCGCCCCAAACTCCATGGCGTAAGGCCTAGAGTGAGAGTCAACGGCCATAATTCTCATATCATCGCCAGCCACCCCCAAACCGACACGGCCGACATACAGCCAATTATGCTTCTCTCATTCCCATTCACCGCCCGAGTGACTCGATCCTCAATACCACAAATTACTTAGGCCAACCTCAACTTCACCCGCTTCCTTCACTTCTAGGGCAGGATCCGATGGTCTAAGCCATAGATTGTCGCTTATGCAGACCAACTACCAACGATAAAAGCAGTAGCAGCTAGAGTTTCACGGTTCGAATTTGGCTTGAAAGCCGAGGTTGTCAGCTCTCGTTGGCGCCTCCCCAGTATTTCTTATGGCGGCGGCGGAGACGTTCAAGCATCATCTACCGGTCCCCTCTTGAGTCCGGCTGATCTAATCTCAGATTCCCGAGTTCCAGCTGAGTCGCTTATCGGTCTAGTGGTTACGGGAGCACATCTCAACCCTCAAGGGTCCAATACCAAAGGTGTGAGCCACCAGTGGTCACCCGTTTGATACGGCAGTTGTTTGTTAGCTGAGGTTGTCCGACTGGTTTATGTCAGAGCACAGCCCCACTTTCTGTGGCTGACAACATTCCTTTTTGCGTTAGTGAAAAAGCAACTAGACTGGTCTAGATATTACCAAGATTACGACAATTTCAATTCCAGCCTCGGTTAGCCCAAGTAGGGCTGTTTCCTGCACTTTACTGTAACTTACTAGTACAGATCAGATAGTGCATCCCCGCCCCATCAACCGTCAAACCGGTGGTTTCTTCCCACCTGGTGTCCCCACCCCCGCACCAAGCCCAAAAGCACAGACTCCCCTACCCATCCCTTCCCTCCCCGCATCACAATTTAATTATGCATAAAGGTTGAAACCTGGCTTCAGAACCCCCGTCGAAGTGTCCTCGTAATGAGGTGACGTTTGCGAACACAATCGCCATTGCATACCGCCAAATTCAGCTTTTCTGCTTGGATATGGGTGTTATGCGATGGGGGTCGTGTTGACAATGTCACCCCATTACGAGTATAATCTACTCCCGCCCCCCCCCCCCCCCCCACCCCACCGCCCCCACCCCTGTTCCCCTCGTTTACAACGCGCATCAGCCCGGAAAGCATATTGTTCTGATGATGCTACTCGGCAGGAAGCAACCCCCAACCCCACTCGGGACCACCAAAGGCCTCCAAATGCCTCAAAAGTCCCTCTTTCACGTGCCTTGAAATGACTATAACAAGGATTCCTTGGGGAGTCATTTGCAGGAGATGTGCTACGGTAAGGGGGCACACGAGTTATCAGGGTTACCCGATATCACATATGTAAAGCTTTGTTATGCGGCTCCGTTTTTCGTGAGCCCTCATGGAGCCCGAAATTGGCTGGGGTTACCCCACGGGAGGTTTATCCCTACCCGTGATCACGGGCCATCACTCGAACATTGAGACCAGAGACCGAGAAGGTCCCTGTGGGGGCCCTACTCGGCCCCTTTGGTGTTAGCTCAGGTTCCGAAAGGCTCCTGTGCATGAAGGCACACTTGTGGTACCGTATAGCCGGTCGACTCACCATTCAGTAGAGAAGATTCGCGCCGTACCCGCCCTTCGCCTAGCTGCGCCTATCACACCAGGCCAGTGCCTTTCTCCAAACCCGCTAATTCCACCGACCGTAACAATTGCTTCCTCAAGTTATGTCCCCAGCTGCCTTTCATCGACCGGTTTCATATGGGATTTACACAGCATAATCTGTCCAAAACTACTACACATATCCGGTTCACCCATCGCAAGCTACCCCGCCCAACCACCCATATAGAAGGCTTTCCAAGGCGAGGGCTTGCAAGCTATCGGGCTAGCCACATAAGAGCACAGAGCGCAGCCGACGTATTCCGAATCGGGCCGATTGAGAAATCCGATACGAACCATTCACCAGAGTACCCCCCATATTTTTTTATCCATAGATGCCCAGACCACGCTGAAATCGTTGGCACTGGTGTAATATATACACCCGTTCCAGTTATAGGTCCCTAAGGTTCTATACCTCAACGAGTCGCAATACACTGCTGCAGGATCAACCTATACTAGGCCCCGTAACACCAGACCGGGCTAGATCAGGAAGCGAGAAAACAACCATTACAAAACGACTGGGTAAGTGTGGCGGTCCACGTCGACTCGAGTACAGATCCCATACTTTATGTAAACCCAAGGTAAACACTTTTCTCCATTCACTCACGCGCAGAGCCATTTTTCCAGGGGTGATACCGGTATCTCCCGGGAAAAAGTACAATACAGGTGGTTCAGAGGCGGAATTCAACTGTGTAACAAATCCGTATCATAACATCGGGACCCAGTTAGTAGGGGACAGGAAAGCGTCATTTCTCTGCTCGCGAAGGCACCACCCTTACTACAATTTATTACAATCTTGGATTAAGCTACTAGGATTTACTCATCTAAGGCCACAACCTCCCCCCCACCCCACCTCACCATGGTACATGCCATCATCCCGCAGTCCCAAAGCCGTCGACCGCAAGACTCACATCTTTCAGAGCGATCAAGCAGGTTTTCGTTCCCGGGAAAGTCATTTCCTTCCAGGGATAGTACATCAGGGTCTATTCCCCGCTCAAGTTCCAAATTCCGACTCGACCTACACAGCACGACCGGATTTCCGAAGTGAAATACGTACAGTATGACATACATCCAAAACCGTTTTAAAGAACCGGTACTAGTACAATAAGTCGAAAACCGGTAATTGAGCTTATAGCCAGCAAGTACCGGACGCCAGCCCGCAATTCCAAGGCTTCCGTAACACAACGAACCGTAAAGAATAACCAGGGGTACATTTCACATGCCACCATTCCCCTAAATATCTATCGGCCAATACGACCCTCGTGAAAAGAACCCGTAACCTACGGAATCACGTAACTTGCGGGGGGGGAGGGGTTGAAATCCGCCCGTACTACCGGTATCTGCATCACACCTCACAGGGTCCCCACTAATTCTGTTACTTCCATTGCTGCACAAATGCGACCATATGATTGAACGAACGGTACAGTACGAGCACTATATCGGTTTCCCATGTCCATAAAGACCCGGTTACGCAGATCTACCGTGCACAAATAGCCGTCCCGCGATGATCGATTTCCCCGGGCCTGTCGATGATCAGCTCCCGATACCGGCATCCAAATACGGTACCCAGTCTTCCCATCTTCGGCCTTTCGGGATTCCGCCATCACCGAATAGGTTAACCGAGGGGAGGGGGGGATGGAGGGATTGACCGACTCACCGTTACTCATCGCCCGCGGGGGGGAGTTCATTCCGTAGCGGACTAGTATTATAATCAAGATTCTCGGCAAATCAAAAAGTTTTTTTTTTCTTTTTAAGTCCTACCCGTGATGGAGGAGCCGGAACCGGGGAGCTGGGTACACGGTTCTCCATTCCAAGATGTGTTGTTGAACGGTACGGGCTGAGCGCATGAGTAATTATTCGAGAGTTTTTTTTCCTCCTTTTACTTCGCCGAGTGTATGATACAATTATAGAGGAGACGGAAGAGAAGGGGCAGAAAGAGAGGGGGGGAGAGGGGGGTTCTGGAATATTCAGAATCCGGGACGGTAGACACGAATCCACCATTGTGTTACCGTATATATACATCGTGGCAGTATCCCACATTACCGTCCGTACCCATCGATATCACGCGAAAAGGGATTTCAGCTGCTAAAATGAAAAAGGGCACCGGTATCATACCGCACCACGCTGAACTCAAGTACCGATATACATTGGCACAAGTCCACTACGACAGGTAGCCGGTGAATGCCGGGACCGTTCCAGCAGAACTGCATATATACGAGTACATTATGTGGCAAAAACATTTGTATATTGTTAGCATAGCGGGCATTTCGATATACTTGAAACGACGGAGGATGGGGGAGAGAGATGTTGCGCCCCGCTTCCACCAATAGAGCAAAGAGGAAAAAGCCCGCATATACAGTACTTGTACTGTCGAATGCAGTGCATCATCTTCACCCACCCGGAACCCTCCCCCACAGTCCGGAGACTGAAGACCGATTTGCGGACAGGGGGGAGAAGCGCTTAGTTGCTAATGCCATGGATAATCCCTGCCTTGTTTGCAAAATTATCTAATCAACTTCAAAATGCTAAGCCAGATCCAG